TTTGATTCTGCCCAACAAAGGCTAAACAGTGTGGCTGCAGATTCAGTCAGACCAGAATGACTCTTTTGGACGCATTACCGCACGACACAACCTTATTATAGAGAGAATGACAGTAATGTGGGACACGTCCTGCAACTGGCACTTTAGCAGAATGTTTTAATATGAAACCAATACGTTACATCTGCACCCAATAATATTTGAAGAAATCTCAAAGGTGTTCTCTAATCATATCAGAAAAGATAATGTAGATATAACACTCAGAGAAACAGCAGACAAACATGTTCCTTCTCTAGTTTGCTCATTTCTATCATTTAAATGTTTTTGCTGTTAAAAAAAAAACCTGGTGAACCTATCTGTCCATCTGTATAGTGTAGAAAATTAAACAAAATGTTAGCAACACACTGTTATTGTTTTGTTTTTTTTTAAATTGCAAATTAAATAATTTCATAACTCATAAATCATGCATCTTTTATGAGGTACCTGATTAAAAAATTCTGAGATTTGGAGACGGATCATTGGTCCCACATCACATTAGATTAGCTGTCAATGATTGTTGTGAAAACAACAACGTAAAATTCAAAAGAACTACAAAACAGAGTTTAAGGTCCACCAGCAGTGATCACACAATGGCTAGTTAAGGCTGGCTGGTAGATAGCCTTCGCCATCTTACTTTAGCTCGCTAATTTAGAAATGTTTTCATGCAGATTAAGTCAGACCAGATGATGAATAACCCAATGTGATGCTCCATATTCCTCGTAGCACAATCTTTCATACCACAAAAAATAAGCCAGCGGTTGAATCTAAAAAACTCCAGATAAACTAGGACCTAACACTAACTAGCCTGTGGCCTATATGTCGCCCACATGTCATCTGCCTGTGGTGAATTCACACTATTTGATGTGGTTAAGCTGTTAATTAATCACATATTCAAGCTGCGTTTAATAAAGGATCAATGTCCTGCCCTAGATAATCAGTTAAATTACACTGAGGAGCATTCTATTTGATACAGCACTGCCTTTTTGGACTATCAAAGTCAAGTGTGGGCTGGTAGCTGGATGCTGGACCATTGTGAATGACAACTCCGCGCCTTGAGCTCGAGTCTAAACAGTTTTCTGATGTCCAGGTTTACCTCTGGGTTTGTGCAGCTCACTGAACAAGTAGTGACCCTCCCTACTGCACTTTAAATTGTGATGATACCACAAAAATCAAACTCACTTCTCCCATTGAATCAAAACTTGAATAGAAGCAAACAGAAGCTGGCCTTTTTTGCCATTGAGGTTTTATGTCATTACTGTCACAGGCGAGTCTTTTTCCGTGGTCAGCAATAGGAAACTTGTTTTGTTTTTTCTTTTGCAATACCAGGATGAACTGGTGGTGAGGCTGAGTGTCTGTGTCTGATCGCTAAATACATCCATGATGCAAACAGACCACAGCAGTGTCTATTTAGGTTTACTTCATTTCATTTGGTTCTATGGTAATCGCTAGAACATTAGGTGTTACAGTCCTTTGTATTCACAGATTATACCAGATGTAGATATTGATTATGTATCTGTTCCAATGTGGCTGACAACCTTTTAGAAAGTAAAAGTTTTGTTTTCCTATTTGAATGTTTCTGTACATCGTGCTCTCTGTCTTGTAAGTACAGTCCAAGAAAAAAGCATAATGATGATGTGGAAACCTGAGTAATATTCAGTTTATTTCACAAAAAAAAAAAAAAAAAAGGAAAAGGAAAAACGGACATGTAAGTGGAAAGAAGACTGGCTGTGTTGCTTTGCAGGCCAAGCTAACTGTGCACACTGGCGGCACCAGATGGCAGTGAGGTAACTGGATGGGAATCCAGTCAGGTAACATAAGAAGCTGCTCTGGTACAGTAACCACCCCCTAGAGGCTGTTTGTAGACATCTGAGAAATCAATGAGCATCTTCTCTGAGCTTCAAGAAGTCATGCACAGAGGTGGAGGAAGCATTGAAATAAATGTAAAATAAATGTAAACAATGTAAAACTACAAGTAAAAGTCAAGAAGTCGCAATAATCATTTATTATTGTTATTTAATCATTAGGTTAATACTAATGTATATTTACTGAAGCAGCATTTTGTTGTTGCAACTGTATGGAGCGACTTTTGTGGAATTAACTCAGTACCTTTTTATTTATTCACATTTCATTTAGCCTATTTTAAATATTTAAATTAAGTCTGAATCTCTGCTTTTTATTTTCAAACTTCAGAACTCATCTTCATGTCTTGATTCAACTTTTTTGAACTTAAAATAATGAGCTAAACATGTAAACTGCTCAGAGTTCACTCAACTTATTAAATAAAGTTGTTAAAAGAAACACAACTACACCATTACCCATACAGTTGGAATAGTTTTTGTTTTCAGACACATTCCTCTTTTTATTTCTATTTATACACATCAATAATCATTTTTGAGCAGGTGTAATGATTACATACTGAGTCCCAGTTACCATGAAACCAGTTCTGACTTCAGGATCTGACTGAAGAGTGGGACGTCCTGCCCATTGACACCATCAATAAGCTGGTGGACAGTATGCCATGATGTCTTAACGCATTGATCCATGCCAGACTCAATATTAGTGACTGAGAGACATTGAAAGAGTAATAGTGGACATTCTTATGCGTGAAATCCCCTCAAATATGTGTTTCCTGTTATATGACCGCGGTTGAAAAATTTAAACAAAACCTTTAATCCTGTTGTTAAAAACCCCCAATTTAGTTTAAGCCTGAATACAGTTTGCAAAAGTTAATTGTAGTTACATTTTTACTGTGATATGTATTTTTTGTATATTGTGAAATCAATAAAGGTTTGAGAAGATATACACTTTATCAAGAATAAATCACATGGTCACAATCAATTGATGAGAAGAAGAAGTAAAAAAATATTTTATTCCAACTTGATGGGCAACAGTGTCGCATATTAGCAAAGTGTTAAAATGGACATTTAAGTTGTAAGAAATACTGAAGGGGTTCAATAAATTAACACATTTAAATCAAATGTGACAACAAAGCAATGTATTTGTTATTTACATTTGATGGTTTCAGAAGAACACATTTCCTATTTTGAGGCAGCTCTTTCACTAATATTATCAAGTTTAAACAACAAGTTGTATTTCACATGGCCCCCTCCTCATTGTTGCAAAACAAATCTGAAGGGTACCAAGACTGTTTAGGCAGCAAAAAAACACAAAAGACAACATTCGGATACAATAATATGCACTTTGGAATTTCTCAAATCTTTTTGTTGTTTGTGAAATATTTGCATTTTACCTCGCTGAGCCTCAAATATGTATAAGGCCCACACGCAATAATGCTTTATTATCTTGTGTTATTTTTTATGTTAAGTCCTAATATGAAAAGTAGCAAGCAGCTGAAGTTGTCAGATAAATGTAGTGCAGTAAAATGCAATATTTGCATCTGAAATGTGGTGGAGAGGAAACTGAAATACTCAAATACAGTCACAACAAATAGTACAAACTGAAAAAACAGTAAAGGTATGTAAGTGTTTGTATTAATTATGTACATATTAGCAAATACAGTGATGGCTGTGAGCTTACTGCTACTTTTAACAAACCCCTCTTTAAACTTAGTTGAGTGTTTGGAGTGCTGGAGAAAATGAGCCCCTTTAGGAAGCAAGCATTGTTCTTAAAAAATCTTATTTGATCTAACACTGAAAATTCACACGTTAGCAAGGCAGTTAAATCGAGTTTCTTTCAGATTTGTATTTTGTTCAAACGCACATCAGTCTCTGTGTCCTCTGTATGTCGGCATCACCCCGTCTCCTTCATGTGTCCAGCCGGCTCTGAATGCTGCTGAACGTCTTAACAAGGTCAAAAAAGAAAGACAAATAACGTCCATTGCCACCTCTCTAAATTGTAGAACTAGTTTAAAAACCTTGATGTGTGTCTATAGAATGTGAAGCAGTTTTGACCCTTCTTGTATCACAGAACAGCTTTTCCCATATCACACTCTGACAGAGACTTCTGCTCCAGGGCAAAGTGCTATGAGGACTGGGCTTTCTCTGTAGTTTGCTGCAAAACTGTGGTAGCCTCGCCTCAGTGTCCTGTGGCGTATCCTCTGGGTGCTGCTGTGGTTCTGAGCCTGTGGCCCTGTCCACTGCAGCATTTACATTCAGTGCTTTATTCTCTTCTTACTTTCTGCACTGAATCTGTTCTAAAATCCATTCAGCATCACCAGCAATACCAGTTCTTACGTAGCAAGAGACTTTAATTTTTTTTGTAATTTATTTTAAACATTATGAAATAGATGGTGACTACACAATGTGATGGTTATGGAATAATGACATCATCCTTTAATATTGGCTACCCATAAGCCTCACTTTCATTACTGCATTTCTGTCTACCATGCATGCAAAAACCCCTGGAAAAAGAAGGCTCGATTTACAGCACAAAGGAGATATGTCTGCAACTGCACACCCAAAAGAGGACAAGGATAGCATTTTTGTTTTCCCTGGTAGTTTTCCCCAAATAGCTGAAATGGCAGATGGTGGAACAACCTGAGTAACTGTGGAAACTCTACCCGGAAAAAGAAAAAGAGCCCCATTGTCGAAAGAGGCAAAGACGCAGAGAGAGAGAGAGTCTAAGGTAAAACAAGAGCAAACCTCAACTAGACATTCCCTAGATGGAGAGGGCTCTGAGCTTTACAAGATTCAAAACTGACCACCAATCAGATCAGGAAGTAGGAAATCCTGCCAAATGGTTTACTCTGCCTTATTCTAGCATCACGGTTTCTAACTCTCTCTCTAATGTGTTCTCCAGCCCTCCACTCCAGCCTGACGCCAACCCCTGCTGTCGTTACTTGTTTGGGCAAAGAAAAACTCAAGTTATGTTACTATTATCATTAGTATTTCACTTTAATACTTCAGTAAACATGATTCTTTTCTCTCTCTTATTCTCTAAATGTCTGTTGTTGCTTTAATCAATAAAAATATGAAAAAAAAACCCCAACAAAAAACAAAAACAAATTGTTAAAAGAGAAGAGCTTTATTCATGTGTAGAAACACATTTGATTACAATCATTATTGTGTAATTCAATACTTTGTCTACAAAGTGCAAAGACTAATAAAGTACAATATTTAAAAAGTGATGACTTGAAATGGCATTTCAGAGCACAAGGAATTTGCAGAAAGTTTAAAAATGAGCTTCAACACACGTCCGGCATACATCACCGCATCCTCATTGAGAATCAGAATCAGGCAAAACAAATTCAGATTTTGTTCATTCATGTTTGTTATTGTTTAACAAGTGCAACATGAACAGATTTTGTCTGAACAGGAATACTGTGGACAGCTGCACTCATTTTGTTGTTTGTTTGACAAAAGGGCATCACTCCAAGCTTAAAGTGAAGATATGAGAGCAAGTTGCCTATGGAAGGCCTCCAGCGCAGCTGCTTTACTCGTTCTCAAACTTGCTGTATGGGTGGTCCGAGTCACCCATCAGACCTGCACACAGAGAGTGGAGACAAAATGAAAACACAGGAGTACATGCTGGGTCAAGTTTAGCTTCCACTTCCTACATTTTCCAACAAATCCCAAGGTGCTGATTCTCAAATGTAGACCATACTAGTCCAAGGACCCATTTCATAAAATGAATTGGAAAATCAGTCCTGCCCATTCTTAGGCTGTTAAAATCTGATGTTCAGTGCATTGTAGAAATGGTGGACCTGATCCTGTTCAGTCTCTCTGGATCTGCACAAATCAACTAAGAAGTTTGACCATGTAAATGTTACATTAATCTTGATGAAAATAATCACCTCAGGCCCTACTAGTGCTTTATTACTGCACCCCCATGGATTGAAGAGACTTTGAGCCGGACAGACTTATCAATATAAACATATAAACTAAAGCTGCAGAGGCCATGATATCCTGACTTATACTCCTTTGTACAGGTCAAGCTTCATGATTATATCCTACAGACCCCATAACGCAAAACCATTTCATCTTTTATTAGATCCTCTCCTGCATCTTTTAATAGGTTCATGTATAAAAGATAGGTTCACCTTTTTCATTGCTCATATACTGCATATGTTGAAATTGTTTTCGCTGCTTTTCCTCATTCCTCCTGTTCATACTGACCTTTAAAGAAAATCCTTCCTGCACTCATCCAAAATCCAAAAGTCAAATTCCACAGTCAGCATTTTGGTTTAGTAAGGAATTCCAACATTTTCTGAACCTAACACAAGGCTTCAGCCGTCTGACATACTGTATGCCAAGTCAGCTCAGTCCGAAGCATTGTGTTAACTTGTCCAATATTAAATAAATACCCAAACATATTTTTGCACAGAACAAGAACTGGAACTGTCTTAGTTTTTAATGGCCAGTATGAGCAGAAAAAATGATTACAGCACACAAACCCTGTTTTAAAATTCATATGGGCCCCTGATTAGAGCTTTAATACTGACTTGAACCTTTGTGTACATACCCTTTAATGTATGCTTTTTGTTTGACTTCTAAACCTCTAACCAAGAAAGACAAGTATGACAGGATAACCCTGATTATTGGATGGATGTCCTCCTGCCTGTAACTGGTATAGTTTGTGTCACAGTAAAGATAAAACAGTTCGGAAATACATTAAACATCACAAACGTTGCTGTGGCTTCGTATTATTGGTCTGCATGTCAGGGTAGGCACACGAGGATTAAAGAGTTAACTATGCAGAAACCAAACCAGAAGTACTGCTGAGAGAACAACAGCTGAGCATAGGCCAGGATTACTAAAGGCAGCAGAGCAGCAGAGGGAATACAAGAATTTCCAAACTATTAACATCGGTCATAACAGGCAAACTCAACAAGCTGAAGCACAGCGTTCAGTGAAGGACTGGCTGTTCAGGCTCATCTATGTACACTGCTGTCAAACCCCAGTAGCTGTAGTGTGAGGAACATTTTGGGAAATACATTCATCTACTTTCTGAGAGTGACATGAGAAGATTGATCCCATATCCAGTCTCTGACATGGTTAGCTGTAGAGGTAGAAAGTTATTCATTTCTGGTTCCTAGCGTCACAGCACAGCTAAACATTGTTTCCAGAATCAAAATCGAGACTCAGTTTGTTTGTTAAGTAGGTGCCAGGTTTGTTGCCCACAATGAAACTAGGCCTGTAACTATAAAGACTCAGCTGAGCTGTGCCAGTAGCAGCTGATGAAGAACTACTTGAGCCATTTTTTCCACATATGCAGCCACACTGCCCGACACCTGGAAACCCACAAGGTGTGAACTTGAGTTCCTGTTTAACATAAAGACATGAGACTCATACAGATCTTTTCACATCACACAAAATACTAAACTGTTCATTTAACTGGGCTGCCAAACTGGTTTTCTGTCTGTGAAACTTTCACCAAAATGTACTTTTGCGACCAAATATTGTAATTTTAAGTGCTTGAGACTCAGGTTTTTGCTGATTCACTCTTGCACTGTAGAACTGTATGTCAAGCTTCTACAGGTTATGACACAGTGTTGGGGAAAAGTGAAAAAAGTCAGACCTGTGATAATAATTCATACTCCCTTGCTTGGATATTTCAGAATGGTGGTGACAAGAAATTATTCTTCGTTCTGCTGAAAAACCTCCTCCCTCTCCCTCAGGGGATCCTCAGCCACCTTCACTGATCCTCCACCTCAACTGAGGCTGCACTTTAAGAAATAACAAGACTTGATTCTTGGCTGTACAAAAGATGTGTTGCTGCTCCCTAGATTGTGTTTTACAGAACAGACCAGAATGAAAATGAAAGAACAGCCTCCACTACAGCCCCTGTGGAAGTCAGCTAATGAGAGCAGGAGGCTTGAGAAACAGACCACCATCCATCACTCTGTCATGTTGTCCATACACAAAACCACATAACCTGATGTCTTACTACACTGATGCTGCCAGGACACACACAAACATACTCACCCAGTTTCACAAACCCACCACTGTTAAGTGATTTCTTTAAACACAATTGAAATTTCTGCCACATCAACAGCACAAAATGAATAATGCTCTCTTTATCAAAGCTCTGACAGAGGCCAGGTTTTTGTACATCAATCTTAACAGTCTCTTTCCATAAAGTTGTGTAGCTCTTCACGAGGGACAGTGCTATTTATCCGTAACAGAATCAATGCACAGATTAGAAGTGTGATACACAATGCAACAATGCTGTGTAATGTGTCATATTTCTGGATTGTATGGCAGTTCATACTGATGGAGAAAAAAAGGTTCATACTTTAATGAATAACTTGGATTTATTTATTTATTAATTTTGGCATCACCTCTTTTCATAACAATAACACTGTACTCATTAAGTTAACCGAGGGTAACTGAGGGAAACTAAGACATTAATAAGGGAGATCCAGTGCAACTACAGAGAATACTTTGCCAGGAATGGCCAAATATAAATCAGATATGGTATATTTTGATCACAGCGCATATAAAGCCCAATTGCTACAAATCTAAATGATTATTTAAAAAAATGAGGTCATGAAGCATGTAGTTTCCCATGCATAAGTTAATGACACTGTTGTTTCACACAAACCCACACAGTGCGCACAGAGAGTGGTCTTTTTACAATGACAACCCTTTGTTGCTTCAGTGACCTGTTCAGTCCTGCTCGGTCACAAAAGGACTTACATTTGACACCAGCATATGATGAATTATGCTTAATTTAATTTAAGCAGGCAGGAGTTGTGTAACCTATACGTGACCTGAATTGCCTTGCTTGGGGACAAGGCCTATATGTTGAATAATGCATTGCTGGCACAGGGTATGGGAATGAAAGTCAATGACAATGGAAAATCTGAAACCAATTTGACATGCGTCTGAGACACAGCTGACATGAACAGAACAGAGAGGAGAGGGCAGATTACATCCTGCACTGAGACTTACTGATCACCTCAAGTGTAGCAGGTTGATACACAGGGAGCGATGGGAACAGTTTTCCACCCATTAAAGAGAGGGGGTCAAGTCTAGATGTTCCTACAGTGTAGTGTCAGGTTTATACGCACCATACTTCCTGCGAATCTCATCGTGCCGTGCCTTTCTCTCAACTTTCCTGTAAAAACATAAAAACAAAAAAGAACAAGTTATTACGTAGACCAAGGAAAAAAATAATTGGTTTCATGCCTACATTTTAGTTCACTTGGTTGGGGCCAAACGACATTAGATATTATTTTAGCTGTGGTCCACTTTGTGTTCACAGTCACTTTTTACAAATGAACCAAGAGGTATAAACTCAAAGTCATTTGGACTGACAGGAAATTTGCACCAATCAGTTACAACAATAAAACAACCGACAGGTAAAATTAAAAACATTCATCATCTCATTACAATGCATTGTTTTGCTGGGAAACCTTGGGTCCCAGCACTCGTAGATGCTGCTTTGACATGTACCACACAAGTACATGTCATGGCAATGAATTTCTTTAGCACCAGCAACCTCAGTCAGCAGGACAATATACCCTGTTACACAGAGTAAACTACTCAGAAATGGTCTGAGGAACACCACTAAGAACCCCAGGCACTGACCCAGCCTACAACACCCCTCAATCCCAAACCCATCAAGCATCTGCGGGATGTGCTGGAACTAGCCCAATGCACAAAGGCCTGACCCCGTAACCCACACGACCTCTTCTGCCAACGTCCTGATGCCAGACACCACAGTCCAACCCCAGAGGTCCCGCGCATTTTCCCTGGCAGGTAGAAGCTGTTTTGGTGGCACAAAGGGGAACTACACCACTACACAAGAATAGGCAGCTTGTTTTAAAATAGAGGCTAATCAGTGTATGCATTGGGCAGTTTTGCTGACATCAGCCAACATCATAAGCACCAAACAGATAATAGATGGATACTGAATTCAAGCTGAAGATCACATTGTATATTGACCACTACACTCTAAATGAACTGACTGAACCAGACACAAACCTGCTTGTACTCAGCACAACATGTGGCACCCTGATTTTACACACTAAATCTCAATGACTAATGAGAAATGTAAAGGTGGCTTTATGCCAGCTGACTAAATCTGGTGTGTACACTGAGATTTTTATACCTCACTATGTTTTATGCATCCAGCCTCTACGCCACAGCTGCCTCAACTTATTGACAAATTTTAAAACACCTTAGAGGTGGACATCAACTAGAAGCCTTTCACTTGTATAATTGCAAATAAAGGCCAGAGGAAACCTGTGAACAGGTGAACTAAAGATGCAGTGACAGTCACCATATAATCAGACTCTAATTTAGTCTCCATAATAGCTCAGATATAGTTAACTGGACCTCATATTGTAAGGAAACTGGGGAACTGGAACGTATAAGATTACAGTGACTTGCCAAGGGATGGGGCTTTACTGCTGGTCAAAATGACAGTTTCAATAACTTGTAGCACACACAACGCAATCACAAACAGCAGTAAAAAAAAAAAGATACATACTGTTTTTAGAGCTATCCTGTTGCTACACATCTGCTTCACACAGTTTTCCACTTAACACCTTGTATTTCAAAAGATATATATAAAAGAAAAACGTACATAGAGAAATAATCATTTGTATTGCTGCAATGATTAAACATGAACATTAATTGTTTATTCACTCAGGCCAGTGCAAATTGTAAACATTCCTATCTCGCAGTGCTGCGCTGAGATGCAAAACACAATATTTACTCTAAACTATAATACGATCTCACAAAAGCTCCCAGATGATATACTACCATCACTACCATACTGATATACCGCATCATAAAGTCCTGTGGTCGACTGATTTACTGCATCATATTTTCAAAAACATCCATATTAGGCACAACAATATGGAAAATGTATTTCATCCATGCCAGCCTACCAAAAATAAAAAAAACAACTACAACAACAGCAAAAAAACAAAAAAAACAAAAAACAGTGCTTTCCTTATGGATCCTGTCATAGTTTCATTGTTAGTTATGTTTGCACTCCATGCTACATTTAGCTGGCAATGAAACAAATACAGCAACAGGTCTGCCATCAGCCCATCGCCCAGCTTTTCTGAAGACCAACAAAAGCCTGGGAGGAGGGTTTATACTCCGGACCTCCAGAGGCGTCACTTCACTTCATCTCAGCACAAAGGGCTGGTGTAAATCAGTCGCTGCTTTATTGCTAGGTAGTGATCTGTGAGCAGTCAGGCTGGCTGAGCTCTGCCTGCCATCTGTCACCCTCCGCCACACTGATGGCTTGTATGCAACTAATTTAGTGACATGTTCACACTCCCTCTACATAAATATGGCTGTATTCAACAAGTGAGATGGGAAGAATGAAAAAGAGCAAGTAGATGAAGCGTAAGCAAAGGATGGAGCCGTATCCACAGCTTGACAATATTTGAAGACAACAGGGACCTTCACTCTCATAGGAGGGTAAAAGTTTGTCGCCTCGACTTCCAGGTTTGGTCAGTTCAAATGTTGCTCGCTACCTCTAGATAACCAGTAGGACACACAATTTCCAGCAGAAAAAAGTGTAAAGACAAACAGTCACATTAAGTAAAATAGAGTAAGAACTTGCAAAGTAGGAGCTTTGCCAAATAATAGCATTCGATGCGGGCTTCTCTACGCTCTATGCTGTAAGTCAGCTGCTATCTGTGCTGTGCTTTTGCCATTAAACTTGTATCCTATCGGGTGCTGACGCACTATATGGTTAAACACTGTGGTAAAAAAATAAAGTGGGATGGAGCAAAATTAACAATGAAAGTGATTTATAAACAAACAACAGTGCTCTGATGTTGGCATGACTAAAGATTGAAGTTAGCAAGATTTATTCAGACAGCAAACTGACAGGCCAAGGAAAAGATGGACTGATTTTTAAGCAAGAAAAAACAAAGAAACAAACAAAACAGGTGCTGTTCTGAAACATGTCAATCACTTCAGTGGAAAAAACATGAACAAGACTGCTGCTTTACCATCAACTTCTGTCTTTAACCTAGCCGTTAAAGCTAAATTTAACTTGCAATTTCTATTTGCAAATCCCAGCTTTAAAAATATGCTTGAAAAGAAGTCTTTCATGTTCTTGATGCTGTTAGTTGAATAAATGTAACCTGGCTACATTTGCCGCAAGCTTCTCCAACACTGTTACTGACTGACAAAGGCTCAGCTGATTTATGTGACATTCATTACAACCTTTCTGGTTTCCAAAGGGAAACAGGGAAAAAAAGGTTTGGAAACCACCGATGCCCCTTCAGAGGAATAGATTTTGGCTATTCTAGTCTAGGTTTTGTTTTTTCTAAAAAGATGAATAACTAAAATGTGAAATCTGTGTGTGGTTGGAGTTCTCAACATTATGAGGAGTGATTAGTTGGATTGCATTTAAATAAGTCTCTGTTACATGCAAATGCAGACTTCTAAGACGGCATGTTTCCAAGAGGTTCAAAAGCTACTCGTAAAAATCATTTCAGTAACTGGGTTTCAATACAGTTTTAGGGATGCAAATTCAGTTTAAAGGGCTTTCCATCGCTCCTCTTTTTTTTAAAGCAACACCCTGACAGAAACACTAAATAGTGGAGTTTGCTTAATGGCAATGTCAGCTTAAAAAGCAGCCGTATCAGTCAGCATTCAAGAGGCTGAATGGGTCGAAACCCCACAAAAGCTGTTGATGAATTTGCCCAGCCTGCCCGGGCTTGGATGACCACGGTACTATGCTTTGAGCTGGCTCTCAGGAGGCCAGGCAGCCGTGTCTAGAGGCACTACTCTCTCCCATGATGGGTCCGATCTATTCTGAATGCCCTGTTCACAACATGAACTGCATCTATGTAGGTCACTGCACTAACTCTGACTTCAGAGATTTGATCATCCTCACTGCAGGAAACCCTGACTTGATTTTATGGCACGTGAGAGAAAAGCTCATAGAGGTTGGATTGCTCAACGTGCAGGCTCTTTCTCAAATGCACACGCACACAGAGAGCCAGGCCTGTGATGTCCCCAGCACGGCAAAAGATGATGGCAGACCAGAGTTACTGATTTCCTTTCTGCACGACTGCCCTGCTTACAAACACATCACCCAGCTATCCTCGGAGGACAAATGCAGTGGAAGTGCAGGAACTAAATAGAAAGATGAGGATGAAACATTCATGGAGTTCAAGAAGAGGAAGGCTTCCAAGTTTAATCACTGCTACAAGACACACTGCTGTATGATTCAGTGACTAACACACTGTTTCTTTGACAGAGGAGGGCACTGCACAGGATGTAGCCCGCTCTATTTATGATGACATTACCAAAGACCAGCTGCTCAGCCTTGACAATCCAATTGGTGTTTTGGGATATGAGCAGAGGAACGCTGAGCTCCTCCTCTGGGACATGGACTTGTTGGGGCTGCACACACACCAGTTGCTTGATTCTCAAACACAACGGACTCTTGTTGTGGACAATGAAGTATTCCATTGTAGGAAATTCAACGCAGGCCCTTCTTGGATATATTGAGACGCTAACAATATCTAACATATTGACAGAACAGAATTAGGTCTTTACATCATTGTCTTACTCTGATTTTCTTTTATTCTTTGACTTTAAACCTGATCCAAAGAATATCATCTAGCAAGTTTGATCATATTTATATTTTACATACTTGCTATATTTAGCTAAAAAATAAAAAATCAGCTTCAGTAAATTTAAATGTGAAATTACCAATCAACATTAGCATTTACTGATATTACCATTACCCAGGAGGTAATGTTTTGGTTTAGTTTAAATGTCTGTCAGGTTTTTAGTAGGATATCTAAAATTTGAGAATTTTAACTAAACTAAGTCAAACACCATGAGCCAAAAATAATTTTTTGGGGGCATTTTGCTCAGGAGAAGAGAGAAATGAAACAAAGATCCCAAACTGGAGCTGAATCTGGCACATCGCAGACCACGTCTACACTAAATTTATAAATGGCTTGACTGATGGCTAAATGCATAAAGCTTTTTCTCTCCATTTTCCTCTACCATGACGAAAACTGTGATTTTCTGCTCAGTTTTTAAAACTGGGCATTGTAGTGTGTCCAGGAAAAACTAAGCTTTGAAGAACTGCTGTCATATTCTGTGACAAAACGGCCCACCAGGAGGAGAGTTACTGGTTTTCATGGGGATGGAAGTCTTTGCAGAAACAAGTTGAAACATGTCACATGTCATTTGTGTGCAATAAACCATGTTTAGCCACTGTCAAGACAACATGTCCATATGGTGTTCATGAATAATAAACAGTCAGTGTCATTGAAGAGCACTTTCTCCTTGAAACTGTAGTGTACCGATGACCAATACGTAACCAACCTAAGGAACCACTCCTGTCAACATGTGGGGTGGGGTTTCTGCATCATTCTTCTTCAATATTAGTTTCTGGTTCAAACTGGAAACTAACAGCTTTGTCACTGTCAAAATTTGTGTGGCAGGTGAAAAAAATTATTTCACATTCACACAATAGTTTTGATTTGTATCTGTAGCAAAATGCTCACGTTACAGCACCCGTTTGTGTTAAAGGACACTAGAACTGCAACACCAGCATGCTGTGGTCGAAACCACAACACAGGAGAGTGCAGTAAATACAAGGCTGGAATTACTGTCAAATTTTAGTTGATACTGATGCAGTAATAATGTCAGGATTGGCCCCGATATAATTTGAAGGTAACTAATAGATAAATATTATACATGTGATAATGTATAAATATCCTTCTAGTACTCATATGAAAATGAGCCCTATCCTATCCAGAAGCTAAATTACTACTTTTAATCATGCAGTTTTCACTAGATACAGAGGGAAGTGACATAGCCTTAAAAGACTGGTTTCATGTTGAGCGGAGAAACACACTGACAATGATGCTGTTATTTAAATAAAGACAGGTTTCATCTATTACTGACATTTCCAGCCTATGTTTACTGAGGCCTGCAGTGAACTTCTTACCGTTCTTCAGAGCGCTGTTTGATCTCTTCTCTCTTCCTGGCAAATCTCTCCTCATCTCTGTCAGGCCTTTAATTGTACGGAGACATGAACAGAGTATCAGAATCATTACTGTTCATGAAACCAGAAAACAACAAAAACACTTTCATTTGAATGTGACAAATGACATGCGTCTACAAACTGCCACAGATGCTTGAGGATTACTCTTTTCAAAAACAGAACCCCCTACCTAAAAGTTACAGTGATACATATTCTGCGTTCTTCAGTGCATAACTTATAATCTATCCGAGTTGTGAATTGTGTCTGCCAGCCCACTGAGAGTTAGATAGATAGATACAACTTTACTGATCCCTTTGGTAAAACCTCAGGGAAATTGTTGAGTTTTTGCTGTGCCTCATCTTTGATAATGTAATTACTTCATTTAATGGAAGTTGAACAAACAAAAAGGTGAGAAAATAAAATTATCTGTAGGCAAGTCAAAAAATACAGAAATGTGACTACATAGTCATTTACATGGCTACATGAGTGAGAGAGTGTGTATGTAGAGTTGATGCATGCTCTTTGTCCTCATCTTTTTCAGGCAGATGATAGACATGAGCGAGACTACTACACCCACTGGACTGTCAGTGACTGACAGGCCAGCCTGCAGTTGATTGACTGACATGACATTTCCATTTCACTCCAGCACAATGAATAAGAGCACCGCAACACACTCTGTGTCTGTGTCTCTCTCGCTGTCTCTCTCTGCGTCTGTCTCTGTGTCTGTCTCTCTCTTTCTCTCTATGAACAGCATGTGCTTGCAGGGAACCTGTCATTCATAACTAGGCTTCTTCAGTAATATCGATTACTATAAAGACGTACAATAGCAATAGTAGCGATGGCGCCAGTGTCACGGGAAGCTCGGACACACTTCTCTGTTTACTGTGAAATCGATATGTCTCTTCTGCTCCTGCAATTCTGCCTACAATTCTTCTCTGTTTTGTTATGCTTTCCCACTAAGGCTCATATCTTAATGCGTTATTAGTTACTGTTTTCCAGACACTGTTTCGGGGTAATCAGAGGCTTCCTCCTAACCTTGCCACTGGCCATTAGCTGCTTTTACAGCGACTACGGATATGCTAATTTCTTGCTAAAGGTTGTTTTACTTTAGAAAGATAATACAGGTACTCCAGATAGCGTTAGCCACAGGCCTGTCAGTTAGCCTCTTAGTGACAGAATTAGCCTAGTGTCGGCAGCAATGCTTGTCCTTGTCTGTACACATTAGCTTTCAGTTTTGATTGTGACGTGGAACCATTCAGAAAGACTAATGGGCGGGACATTGCTGAGACCACACAGTGACTACAGCCAGAGAAAGGCGACTGCATCAGACCCAAAGTAGCACATTTATTTCAACAATCGCCTAATAAAAATAACAATGCCATTAATCAGAAAAATGACAATCGTCTGCCATCTCTAAATCTGAGTATACCATCATATTGTTTCTGAGTAAAGCCAGAAACAATACGATGTAGAGCCTTAACACGAAAAGATTCCTGAATAAAAATCTATGTTGGTATTGCATAATGTCAAATATAGCACTTGTGTGATACATGTCCTGCCCCTCCCCTTAAAAAGCCAGTTGTCTCCTTTTTAACAGCCAAAAAGGGAAACATCCAGCTATTCATGTTGCTGCACTAATGTTGTAAAACTGCGTGCATGCATAGTACAGGATAAACTGCAGGGAAAACACGCTGTTTTAACTTAATATTCAGGTTCAGTCGTTAAAGCTTTTAAGCAGTTTTTTAGAGATTTGACTGGTTATTCTTTGTATGCAGTATTCATGCCCCAGTGATGACTGACATTGCATTTGTGGCTCTCTCCTCAGTCATTTCAACAGGGGTCTTGTTGAACTGAAATAACTGTTCGGAGGCATTGCAAAGGTGGTAGCTTAGTGGTGAGACTTGCTTGAAAAGGGACTTAGCTGTACTAAGGTGCTGATGACGTTTCATTTAACCTTACCCTGATCGACGCTTCTTGCAACAGCAGCAGCAGCAGCAGGCAATAATGCTGATAAGGATGGTTCCACCCACCACCGCCAGGGCAATGATCAGGGCTTCAAAGTTCACTGAGACAAACAACAAGATATATAATTAACATTCATATTCTTTTCAAGAAGAGGATATTTTCACAAGGTCAGGTAATCATTGTTGCTTGAAACCTTGGGTCTCCCTTTCCCTGTAATGATGATATACACTTTGACAATGGCTCCACCTGCTGACTTCTCTGCCACACTGCAAGTCATAACACCGTAATGACGGAAATACACACTGAACTTCCATTTCCAGTGAAAACATAACTAGGACATCAAACAGGACTTAATCAGGGGAGACTTTGACTTTCAACTGCAAAGCCTGAAAGCACTCCACAAGGAATACAGTTACTGGTTTATTTGTTTTTGTCGATTATACTTTCAAGTCACACATTTGTCAGATCACAGAGAACAGTACTGTAGCTGCCAGCACTTCTAAGGTTCTGCACCAGCACAACCCTAATTACAAATTCATCAAACAACAGCCAAACTAAAGTGATGAACTATATCAACAATGTTTCCTGCCTCTAAGTATACATACATTTCAGTTGTGGCTAAACAGGTATGCATATCATTTTATATAAAAGCTAAAATGACATGGACTGAAGTCTGTTGTTAACTGGGTTAATCTAGGTTTTATCTAATCAATAACATTTTATCTTACCGTTGAAGGTTGTTAAATGAAAAAAGGGGTCAGACTTTATTGTATTTGTTACAACACATCTAGTCTGAGCTGTTTTATGTGCTCCAATAAAGCCTAGAAGTTGTTAACAACTCCCACTATCGGTTAGGGAAATAGTTTAAAATTTGCATCCCAACCACAGATGTTTCCTGACAACAAACTTAGACATTACGTTACTTGTTTATTATTTATCATATTTTACGACATTTCTTAAGTTTTAATGGTGCAAATTGATTCAATAAATCACCAATTTGAAAGTAGCTGGCAGTTCACACATCCAGAAGAATTTGCCACCACACTAAGCCCTGACCTGGCTACTGTCCTCTCCTGGCTGGCTGCGTAGGAACTTGGGAAATTCCCTGCACACCACAAATTGTACTTTCAGTACCTAACAAGGGGCAATAGTTAATTTTAACAAAGCTGTTGTCAATTACCGATTGGTACAGCTTCCCAGACACACGAGAGAGGAAGCAGGTAGCACTGTACCTGCTTCCTCTCTTGCAAGAAGTAGCACCATCAGGTGGAGCCTACCCACTGTGACAATGAAGCAACATGACGTGAGAGGAACAGAAAGATTTGGCTGACCAATCTCATACAAACAGGTATCTTTGTAAATTGCTCCCCTTCACTTCAGTGTTTGTCAAGGAGAATCTCATACCACTCCAAATATCCTGTACCTACTTTCTGACTATTATTTAATAGAGGTAGATCACTTTAAGATGTCTTCTTGTACAGAAATTTTTCTTGCTGTTTTCTTGATTTGCGTTTCTGTGTGGTTTTTGATGCGTGTAGTGGAAATGAAGTGTTACGCCTACAGTGTCCTACAGTGTACCGAACCATTAAAACAGCTTCCTCATGTCAATCCCCTCTATACACCATCTAAAACACTAAAGTAATGAGACTGAAACAAGTGACAAACGAAAGACAGATGTAATCACAACCTTTGACATCATAACAATAAAACCAAACAACTCACGCCAACACACGCCCCAGCGGGCCTGGGACAACTGGCAGACTGACGCTGGAGGCAGCAACCAGCTCACTGGGTACTCTGTGCAGTTGTTGGTAGTAAAGCACCACAGACACTGTGCAGATAAAACACAAGGATCAACCCTCTGCATGACATGGTATTACTATGCACACAAGACCTAAAACCATTTCCCAATTAACTGATCAAGAACGTAAAATACCAAATATTACTTGGTTATAGGTCATTATATCACTTACAGATCATTCCATGTAACATCAGCCAAAGCTTAAAAAAAAGGTTCTGTCCTGGCCCTCTTACATTTAACTGATTGTTTCTGCATAATAAATTCAGTAAGTGTAATGAGCTCATGCAATATTAAACCTTCATACCTACACCTGTGAATATTTTCTGAGGTAATGAAACTTAAAAGTATACAGGTATGGGTCAATATTTCATGTTTTTAAATTTGCATTACTCATAACTTTACACATAAAAGAGATGGACACATTACTTTATTCAGGGCAGAAAAACACATTTGAGCTCTCCTTAAACCAAATCTATTTTATCTCCACTTCAGGTCTTAGATTCTAAACCCAAACCTTGTTTTTGTTTCAAATAATGTTTTCTATTACCCACTTTGAGCCCTAATTATCATTGAGTAAATCACATTTTCAATACCTAAACTGCACTATTTTAATGTCTATGACATGGAGTAAAAGAGACAAGCATGGCTGTGTGCATTATCAAATTTCTGATGATGATTTACCAGACATAACTTTAATAAATCATATCATCAAGTGGGCGAGGTGGTTGGTCACAAGTTATAGCAGATGAAAGGTCTAATTTTGACCTATATTTTGATGCTAGATTCATATGCTAGCCACAATTTCTTCTGTCAAAATAAGGTCCTAAAATAGGCATATTTTGACACAAAATGTAAAATTTGTGATTTTAGTTACACAAGGAATTAAAACCATACTAAAAGAAAAAAGATGCGAAAAGACAAAAAAAAATTTAAAAACTCTGCTGATTCTGAGGGGGTCAGATGGGAGGCACTGATTGATTTCTTTCTGGAATAAGCTTTTAGAGGATTTGCTGTAAGTGTTGGCCTGAAATATTAAGTAATCTGACTACAGCCACACTAGTTTGAGGAAACAGCATTCCTGTGTGACACTTTTCCACTGTCATTGATTTAACAATCAACATTAATAATTGACAGATTTATTATTGCCGCTGACTTGATACAGAACAGATATCTTGACCTCAATATAAATCTGTCAGAAATGCATTGCAAACCCATCAAAGCAACTACTATACAAAATATTGCAGATTTAGGTTCCCTAACTTATCTGTTAAAGCAGACTTTGGTAAACATACCAGCCCACTTCTGCATCGGCAGCAGCAGGAAGCAAACCAGTGTTACATGTTGAGATGCTGTTCAGGTAACTCCGTCCTGGTTTAGTGCATGTATTTAGGCCTAGTAGTGACACCAAATGACTGGGAGGTTAAATAAGCCACCAAATGTGGCGACGAATGGGGAAGCATAAAATCACACGAGTTATTTTATGCCAGTTCAAAGGGCTGCTCCCAGTTTCCTGTTAAAACCTTACCTTGGCATTTGGAACGCAAGTGTCACAGTTTTTGTAGGAGGAGCAGGCTGAAATGAGAGACAAAAACAATCAAAGTAAATTATTTTTAAAAAAACAAAACAAAACAACGAAAAGCCGTGCTAGCAGCGCTACTGGGTCAGGACCAGCACAGAGCTGCGGTCGGTCGCCACCACACAGCTGTGACGTATTTTCAAAATACAGCTATTTCACTTACTAGTTCACGACCTGGAACTGCTCTTAAAGTCACTTGTTCCAATGACAAACATAACCTATACCAACCACAAAAACGAATGCACTGCTTTACAAAAAAAATAAATAAAAAGAGAGAGATATAATTCAACTTACGACGTGGTGGAGCTGGAGTTGACTGGCATTCTGCCTGGCTAACAAAGCTAACACACAGCAGGACAGCAGCAAAAACAGCCGAAGTGGTCAGAGAGTGTCTCATGGTTGTAAAAGAAGACATCGTGAAAAGCACAGTAGAGCAGCTTGGAACCTTAACAGCGTGTAAAATAAGAAAAATACCAGTTCGTCGACACTGGGCGACTCGAGATAGCCTGTTGTTTCTGTTTAGTCTCGAATCTATCGCTGTCACTTCCTGGGTGTCTGGGGTTAGCGCGTTTAGTACACTCCGACTGCCCAGGCGGGAGGAGCTAATACTTAGACTGAACGTACAAGCGACCGCCCGCACGAATTTACACGACTTAGCAGCAGCGATTTGGGGTCTTAGAAATGTACGAAAAGCTCGTGGTCAGCTTTGACGGTAACAAAATACTACACGCGTTTATTTTTCGTTTAGTTTTACTGACTAAACTTATTTTATCTCAGTGGTCTAACATGAAATGAATTCGTGCAGGTGTTGTGTTCTCTGTGAATAATTTCACTTTTCTTCCCTGTGCACTTGTAGCCTTCCAGCTCTGTCCCTGTCCCATCTGCTGGGACTCCACAACCAGGCCCATCAGCAGCATCGTCTGGGCAGACTGCTCGGAAGCCTTCTTTGACTTTGGCATCGGTAAATGTGATGTAAAGAATAAAACACTTAACATTAAGTGGTTTTTTTTTTCCAGCGTTTTTTCAGCGTTGCAATGCTATGTTGGTTTTAGTATTTCTGTGTAGACTTTGTTGCTAAAGACAGCTTTTCAAAGATGTTCTAATTGTTTTATATCATATTGTTGTACATAGCTGTGTTAAATAGCTTGTAACCCTGTTGTACGTAAGTAACTGTATTTCTTTGTGTGATACCAACATAATCTGTACCTTTTGCAATAAATCTGACCTTTATTTCTGCAGCAGTGCTTTTGGTTTGTTTTTCACATAAATATCTGTATAAGAACATTCAAGCAGACAGACCTTTTTGCATAGTCAAGCTAAAATGACATGAGGAGCATGTATTCAAAACCATTTTATAATTGATCAAATTGGCCTTGTTATTTGCAAGAATATCAATATAAACAGATAAGCTTAAAAAACAAGAAGTGCTGATACAGCCTTGTCAATAACACATCAGTAACAGCTGGTTTTGTGTGGGTCTGACCAGTCAGCAATACATTTACAATAGGCCACTCATATTTTTGTGGCACAGATAGTTGTATCTTAAAGTTTAACAACAGTTGGTTACCATTTCTGATAGAATATATATGTTATCAGCTGGGATCGAACCAGCGACCTTTGTAGCCAGACCTTCCCCCACCATCACCCAGTAAAGTTACGGATTTTGCCTAAATGATTGAAATTTAAGGAAGAAATTGCATTTAAGTGGATCAGAAAGGCAGCAAGAACCCTTCAGCTCTCCTCTTCTTCGCCTCATTTTTCTCATTTTTTTCATTTTTCTCCTCCTTTTTCTCTCTTCTCCCCCTTCTTCCCCTTCTCCCCCCCAGAAAGACTATTGTTCCCCAGCTTCGGCGCAAGGTGGAGCGGTGGCAGGCACCGTTGCCTCGCAACAAGAAGGTCGCCGGTTTGCGTCCCAGTGAGGACTCTCGGGATCTTTCTGCGTGGAGTTTGCATGTTCTCCCCAAGCAGCATGGTTCTCTCCGGCTTCCTCCCACAGTCCAAAAAAAATGTTGAGGTTAATTGGTGATTCTAAATTGTCCATAGGTGTGAATGTGAGTGTGCTTGCTTGTCTGTCTCTAAGTGTCTCCTGCCTTCGCCCTAAGTCAGCTGGGATAGGCTCCAGCCCCCCCGCGACCCAAGTGAGGATTAAGTGGTGTATAGAAAATGGATGGATGGACTTAATGTCAGTAAAGATTCAAAATTTTCTTCGATTTTCATTTGAAATGGATGGATGCAGTCCAAAGTGTGGTTGAACGTTGGTATCTCATTATATACAAATTAAATCAAGTTTAGCATGTCAGGAAATATTTAAAAAATAGTTGCAAATAATTGTTTGTAAAATTAAACATGTTGTGTACATTAACTCAGAACTAGGCCTCGTTTTTTTAATATCATATACTGGATTTTGGATTAGTATGAAAGAAGTTAAGGAAAAAACTGAGCATCGTCTCCCATTTTAGCTTAGAAATTAATTCCTTTACTGGAGAATTTGTCAGCTGGCTTCCAGTTCAGATAAATTACATTTTGACAATTTTCCCATCCCTCATATTTGTGAGCTGCTTGATTATGAGCGAAGCTATGCTTATTTCGCCGATCACTGAGGACAAGCTGTGTTTTGGGAAAAAAAACGGTGTGATCCTTTCAGACTATAACAGTCTTGGTGCCCTGGGTTTGCTGTTTTTCCTTGCTGCAGGCTGTCTGGGAAGAGGAGTTGTTGTCACCGTGTTTACCACTTTTTATCTGCTATGGCGTCATGCTGCAACCAAGTCACTCATTGGAATTTTAATGAAGTGAAAAGCACTCAGTGATCAGAAGGTGGCAGTGGACTGTCACACAAGCTCTGGCTCTGTTGATATGACAGGTTTTGTGTTAACTCTGTACGTTTTTATATAAATGATGGCGATACGTGCACACTCTGCAATCACACAATTTATGCACTGGTGATGATCAGATTATGGACCTGATTAGAAACCAATTTGGTGATATATGCAAAAAAGTATGCAACTTGGAGGACTTGAGGAATCGAGGGGTGTGCGTGAAGGAGAGAAGACAGAGGCGGGGCCGTTTTCTATACTCCACTCCTGTCTTTTGAACCTTTCCTCATCCAAATAATTGCAGTGTTAACGGAGCTTCGTTATAAGTTGGCCTAAATATGAGACATCAGTCAGTAAAGTGGAGTACTTAAAATAAATTAAATTAGAATGTTGTCCAGTGAACATAAACTGATATTCCAGTCACAACTGTAGAAATCTCAATGGTTATATAAAAAGTTAATGAAGGAGCAGTCGCCTAGCCCAGACAGTTTTAGTGTTGGACTTTATTGGTACTATGAGGGTAAAGGTGCCCCTATGCTACCCATCATGGACTCATTTGTATATGGCTCACTTCCAACTGGACTCCCCTAAACACCTCACATTTGCAGCTCCAAAGTTATAGTCCTAAACTGTTTACATAATCGATTTCACAAAAAACTAGAACAAAAGTATAGTTTTCAACCACACTTGAGGCAGGGCACACGGAATGACACTAGTAACTGATTGGTGGATCCATCACTTTGGTCCAGACTCTTACATTACATGGTCGACGTTGGACATCAGTGTTAAAAATATCAGATTTGTGTTTAATTAAACTACACAGACCTAAATAACATGGAGTAATTGTGGCCTTTAGGATTCATTTAAGTTCCAGGACTCACTGGGAGTTTGTCTGCTTTGCACAATTAGTAATTCACGTTTAAACAGGTGTGGTTATTAGTCCCTGGACCTCTCAACTACATCATCACAAGTTGGTCTCAAAGGTGCTTGTTCTGGTGTCTGCATCTGCAGTAGAAATTCAATATTGCTTTATTTATGTTGCAGAACATCCTTTTAGTAAGTGGCTGCACAGATGTTGTTGTTTTTTTGTTTTTTTTACATTTGAAAACCAGGGTGTAGGATTTAGTGGGATAATTTAGCAGAAATGGAATACAGTATTCATAATTATGTTTTCATAAGTGTAATCATCTGTGACTTCATATCATTGTGTTTTCATCATCTTTAAATGAGCCCTTTGTATGTGCACAGGGAGCAGGTCCTCTTTTACGAAGTCCATCACATTGCAGGGACATGTTTCCCTAAACAGACAAACTTAACCTTTGCTCTAGAAAGGGCCTTTAATATTTTACATAGAAGTGGAAGCCACCATAGGTTCTCCTACATACTTGGAGGAGAGATGGAAGGAGGTATTATTCATTTGGTTGCAATGTGCAACTTCACCGCTACACACCACTAAATAATACACCGTGATCCTTGAATAGGCAAATCAGTTTTTAAAGTATAAGTAGCAAGGTGGCAATGACAGTGGCAGAGCTCCCCTTCATTCATCCTTACATTAGTAATGCACCAATATGACAAGCCAAACCAGCATGGTCAGCAGGTTGTAATGTATTTCCTATGGGCAATATTTAGGCTAACCGTTCACAGACAGAAAGTTGTTTGACTGTGTCACCAGCTCATTGCTAACTTTGTCTGTCTGCTGTTTAGTACTTAGTAGGTTTGGGCACCAGGTTAAATCGAGCTTTATCACTGAAAACATCTTGATGAAAACATGAAGACGCCAAATTTCATAAAGAATAACTTATACATACAGATAAAGAGTGAGGTTACATGGTGAAGCTTGGGGCCTTAATCCAAAAAAATGAAATGGAAAATGTTTGAAAAAGCTCCGTAGCACAGAGGGGCACAACTGTGATAAGTCTCCATGAGTCTAACACTACAAGCGACACCTCTCATTTTACAATTCGTCATTTGACCCATATATTGAATATTACAGCTTTAATGCAAATACAATGAGAGTCATTTCACCAAACGTATTTCACCAGTCAATAACAACACAGTATAGTATCAGCACCTATGTGAAAAATATTTGCATTGGCATCTGCCTTTTAAAAGCCATACCTGTCAGTTTACATCTCAATCACTGACAGAGGATGTTTGCTTGATCACATGCTTCAATTTGATTTTTGTTGCTCTCAGACAGCATTAATCAGCTACACAGTACAGGGCGACAAAAGTTCTGCAAAGTCGATGCAGCAGCTAGAGATTTTCCAACAGCTGAGTCATGTTGTAATGGTCCTAATTGCCCTTTATTGTCGTCTGCGCGGATCTTTTTTCCCTCTGACTACTGCTCATTTGAGAGTTTGTCAGTGGGAGATAATGATGGCTAATGGTCTGTCTGAATGACTGAGAGAGTGCTGAAAAATGCAACATAGTGCTGTCTTTCTGGAAGGACAGTGACGCAAATGACTGTCATTTTAAAGAAAACCATAATTTGCAACTAAAGATTATGGTTTTAGCTTAAAAAGAGTTTTATATATATATATATGTGTGTGTGTGTGTGTGTGTGTGTGTGTGTGTGTGTGTGTATACATGTAATAAATATCCTGTGGCTCTTGATTTGATAGTGTATATGTAAAGGGTGTATCGTGGTTTCTTTTATTTCTTGTCCTTGTGTTTTTCCTGCATTTGTGATTGTCTGATTGTTTTCACCTGTGTGT